CAAACATTAACTACAATATCACCTCATAAATACACTCTGTCACGTTAATAAATGTTATTCATCACATTCACAAATAGATACTTGAATGTATAATAACTGCCGTGGACAACAACAAAAAAAAAACTGATAAATAGATCTAACCGGTTTATAAACGCATCGCTCATGCACATTGACCATTGATATGCATGATATATTCCGTGTGTATGTGGTCAGTGTTCGTGTTTCACGATCATAAATGCTCTCTTCAAGCGTTGGTACAACCTGCAATGAGATCATTATTGTCATCACGATTACAATGGCGACTTCATTATGATTTGATTTACTGCCATTTATTATTATCATTTATCATCAACTATCATTCAGTATGATCAATTCAACATTTCACGCATATCCCAGATATTCCCAATCTATTCATCTTCAAAATTATTGTTACTCCTACCATAAGCCATTGTCTTTATTCCTTTTACCATTATTTAAACAAATACTAATATTCGTAATAGGTTCCCTTAGTTATCTTTGTTCAATTACCACAATATCTGTTGTTAATTCAACGGTACCATTGCCAGCATCAGAACTATTACCACCAACGTCGTCGCTATTATTTTTAAGCAGTCACCTCCACCCGAAACGAATTCATTCAACAAAATATTTTTTCCAACCACAATTTTTTGCTATCATTAATACCTTTCGACATTTTATGATTCGACAAGAGAGAAGAAATTATTTTTTCTCAAAAGGGCATCACAAGAGTACGCTTAAACGACATCAATATCGCTTCTGTACACAAATATTTCTAGCAATCAACGATTAAGAATCAACCAGTTTGTAGGCAGTCTAACTATTCTTCACTGCGGAGAGCAAAATATGACTTCAAAAAAAAACTTAATTAATAGCGATATCATATCAGCTATCGCTGTCGTTATGGGAAGCAGAGTAATCAAAAGATGATGAGAAAATATCACTTAACATTAATGACTATCATCATTCAACAGTTACGAGTGTTCCACACTTGCGAGAAAAAACGCTTGGAATACTTAAGTGAAACATAAACTTGATAAAATGGAAGGAATAAAATCAAGTGACATGAAGGCAGAGAAATGAAACTGAAGAAAAAACATCCTAATTGATTATATGATACCATTTCATCTTAGTAATGAACTACAAAAACTGCTTACGTAATTCAACTTAAAACGATAAACAAATACATTCCTTCTGTAATTCAATTTTTTCTTCAAACAACAAGCGATGAATTCCATCGATGAGCGATAAATGCAAATTGCAAAATAAAAAATTTCATGCAATCAAAACAATTTCTTCAAAAGATGAGAGAAGCAATGAAAAATCCCCAATAAATGAAATCAAATGCAGAATGAAAGTCACGAAAAAAAGAGATCATACTGAAAACACAGCAGAACTCTAACAGAGAACTGTTATAAAATATCTTATCAATCGTAAACGAAACACTGGTAAACAATGAAGCAAAATGAAAATCACCTGAATATTTGCAAGCTTACTCATCCATCGAGGTACTGACTTCATAAATGTTGCTCCTTTTTTAACGATTAACTTTTTGGTGATGATCTGATCGCCTTCGATCTAAAAAACGGAGAGAAATACTTCGAAAGATTCATTTCTAAAGAAGTTTAAAAATCATCTTCGAATTATCTGATGGAAATGCAGTAATGAGAAATAATTTCACGTTACTACAAAACCAATTTCATCAGAATTTCTTCGTTACATTTTCAACTGAATGCTGTTCTTTGCATGTGCTGAACAAAAAACCAATTTTAGTTTTCTTATTATATTCACTAGATTTTTATAACGCTGTGCAAAATGATCAATAACGCATTGCATTGAATAATGCGAAAACAACTCCTCAGCGAATGAAATAGAACAGTTGGTGAAAAACTGATTTCTGATGCCCTCAAAAGATTTCCACATTAAAAAAGGACAACGTCCAAACAAACCGTTCTGACGCTCTCATGAATCCCTCAAAATTTAGCGAAGTCTACGCTATACTATCACAAATTCTTGAACTAAATTATTAGCTTGCTTACATTATTTCGAAAAATGTTATTACATCATTACTTGCACTTAAAAAATTCGCTATTTAAATTAATACATTAATTACGATACGTTATCTGAAAAAAAGCTCAACATAATTCAGTTTTATATATTTTTTCAAAAAAACTAAATATTATAGATCAAAACGAAACAAAATATGAATTTTTACCCGCCGTTCGATGACATCTTCACTGAGGATATGCTGAGCTTTTGAGTTTGGGTAACGATCCCAGAAAGCCGCAGCGACTTGTTCGAATGAATACGGAAAGACATGCGATGGACTTTCCCAAAGTCGCATTGTTTCGGCAATCGAAAATCCCCAAACGAACTCACAATTCGAACTCCTGCGAATTTGAATGAGAAGAGTAGAATCGAATCACTATTCTATCACAAGTCAACGATACGATCTGTCGTTTGAAATTAGCGCAACTGTTTACTACGCCACGCAATTTCAAATACACAGTTATGAAGATGCACAATTCTGTTTCAACAACAAAGATCACAAACGCAGAAACCGGTTCAAAGTAACCACAGTTCTAAAACATTCAGCACATGACAGCAGCGTAACATCAGCAAAAAACCGTTCAAATAGAGAATATGAACTCGCCAAACCAGTGGATTATTATCAATTCAAACACTTCCCCCCCCCGCAACCCCTTGAGAATTTTAACATGTTCTCGCACCCCCCTACCACAATAATCAAAATGTCCTCGCAACATTCACTCCGTATCTCTCATCCACTACAGTGAGTGTTTACAGTGTAGATGAGCGTATACCACCGCAGTACGTTCT